TCCTGGTAACTGTCTCTGGCCAAAGACTCGATGTGTTGCCCTGCACACCAGAGCTACTGAGCTACACTAAATCAGTTTTATTTTGGTAAGGGGTAGTGCAAAATTCCACTATACTTTATCTGCTTCACTAAGCAAGAATTAAAAGATTCATTAGGAATCACAGCAAGCCAAATATTAATGTTCAACTCATTTCACTTAAAAGGACATTGTTGTAACTAAGAACAAAGATTTTTCTTTCTTTTGGGGGTTCTTTATTTTCCCTTTTATTTGTTTCCCTATTTCACCAATCCTTCCTAATTTCTGCAGAATTATTCACATCCTCTGTTGATGTTGGATCCTGCTGTGTATCTGCCTGTTGAGCATATCAATGTCTGCTGGTCTTTCAGCTTACTCATTACTGAGTTGATATTTTAAAGCAACCCTAATTAAAAATCATCTATTCTTTCTCTCTAAGGGCCCCCCAGACACTAATAAATTTTATTTTGCGTCGTCTTTTGTCTAACTCTCCACTCTTTCAGCCTTTTTATAAGACTGCATTGTTATGGTACCCCTTTCAGCATGGTATACTTCATATACACATCAGACATTTTTAGCACCCAGACACCGAAGCTGATTGTTTGGGTGGAGAAAAATAGTATGTGCTTTTGTAAGCAAGTTTAAGATATAAGGAATAGATGTTTGAAGTTACAGATGTGGAACCATTTAGTCAGTTTTCAGTCTTGCTTATGTTATTTGAATTTGAGGTTTTGCCTCAACATCCACTGGGTGCTACTGGAAGAACCAATGTGTGTTTCACTGATCCGGAGGCAGGCAGAGCTGGTTTGGCTCCATATGGTTACTTGAACATAAAGTTACTTATGTATAACCCAACAACATATATAATTGCAGCACCTTGCTCTAAATGTGCCCCTGAACCCATAACCCATGGGGAGTTAATAGCACAGAAGCCCTGTGGCAGCTGGATCCAGCATATGAAGATCCAGCTGCTTTTTTACCCTTTTGTGTTGGCTGAACTGAGGTTTAGAACTGATCCTTTGCATGGTCAAATGGTTTAAACTACAGCTATGCATTCTTTCAGTCTGTAGAAAAATGGGTTCACACCCAACTTCCAACATGTTCTGCTACTTTATTTAGTTGCAGCCAGCTGAATACTTGGTGCTATGAAGAGTGGTTTTAAAATGCATATGCTCACTGTGCATTCTGAGTTAGCTGAACTTGAAAAAAAGTCAGCAATTTAAGCCACCATTGTGAACAGCTTAGGACAGAACAATCAATTAGAAGCCCACTGATGTATGTGAAGAGGATTGAGAATAATGCTGAAAACATTCTCATCTCATTTAAATACCATCTTCTCAGAAAAATAAAAAAAAAAAGAGAAAGCATACAGCAGGGTCTAAGAATTTTCAAGGAAAAAAAAGGTACAGAGAACAGCACGTAGTGATTGATTATCATAATCTTCACAGAAAGAAACTATAAAAATACTATTGTAACATAAACTTTAGAAAGAAGAAAGGCAAGAAGATTGTGACTTTTGTGTATTGTGTAAATTGATCACATAACATGAATTATGTATGGATTTTTAATACAAGATCAGCTCAAACAGGAAATCTCACTTTGTGCAACATTTAGTCTTTGTGCAACATTTAGTCTTTGGACTTAGGCTGAGAAAGTTGGGGCTGTTCAGTCTGGAGAAGAGAAGGCTGCGTGGAGACCTCATAGCAGCCTTCCAATATCTGAAGGGGGCCTATAGGGATGCTGGGGAGGGACTCTTCATTAGGGACTGTAGTGACAGGACAAAGGGTAATGGGTTAAAACTTAAACAGGGGAAGTTTAGATTGGATATAAGGAGGAAATTCTTTCCTGTTAGGGTGGTGAGGCACTGGAATAGGTTGCCTAGGGAGGTTGTGAATGCTCCATCCCTGGCAGTGTTCAAGACCAGGTTGGACAAAGCCTTGGGTGAGATTGTTTAGTGTGAGGTGTCCCTGCCCATGGCAGGGGGGCTGGAACTAGATGATCTTAAGGTCCTTTCCAACCCTAACCATTCTATGATTCTATGATTCTATGAATGCCTGGCTGCTTGAGGTTATCAAGTCTTTATTAGGAAACCATATCAGATTTAGTAAGACGAGCACTGTTAACAAATAGTTATCTGTTTATATGTAGGATAAACCACCAGTACTGTCAATTCTTATGTACTTCATAGATCATGCTAGTAATCAGCAGGGGTGAAAGAATTTCCCTTCACATTGCATTACTAGAAAAATTAGATGCATTGATGAAGTTCACAGCTTCCTCTGAAACACAAAGGAAAGAGGAAACAAGAAGATGGAGTGACTATTAACCTCGTCTGGTCTAGCAATTCTACTAGCTCTACATAACTACAGTGTATATAATTTATATATAACTTATTTGTTATACTTAATACATTTCCCAAAGTAGCTTTTACTGCTCTTTTTCACCCAGAAAGTGTACAGAAGCAATATGACTTGACATCCAAGGGGGTAAGCATCTTTCCTTAGTGTTACTGCTATGACATTTTTAGTCTAGAAGTTGAAACTGCCTAAAGCGATAGCACTGGAATCCCCTGAGACACCAGCTGTATCCACTCAACTATTTCCTGGCACCTATTGGATATTCACACCTGTATCTCATCACATTTTCTCCAGATTCATCCATGTTCCTGTTCTGTCCTTCCCCGTTCTGTCCAAATAGGTTTTGCTGAAAGAACCAAAGCGCTAGTATTTACGTTCTGCTAAGCCAAAGTTTTCCCGGTCTCATACGAACACTTCTCTTTCTCCCCAAGAGTCCTTCATTTGAGAGAAATCTGCTTACTTAGACCCTCTCATTTATCTAATCTGTCTGTTCATACATGCACAACACATTCTTCATTGTACTAATGAACACGGTGTCATTATTTGACCTTACCTCTGCTAGGCAGGCTCATTCTCAGTGACACCTCCATCTGACCACACTTCCCAGTGCTGCCCAGTGGCATTCATCTCCTGGATGGAGGCCAAACAGAGCACATTGCTCATCCACATGAGTTCCAGCTCTAACAAACCAATAGAGAAACAGACAGTACTGCTCTGTTTCTCTGTGCTATACCACGCAGATACAATCCCAGCTCAGGCTTCTTTTGCAATGGGCTCATTCCCATCTTTGGCTTCTAAAATAACCAAACAAACAGTGCCAATGATACTAAGAGTTTTGGAAGATGCTTTACAGGCAGCATTTTGGCCTACACTTCATCCTGCTGGTCTCAATAGTAGAATCCTAACTGCAGGAGAACGAAGATTTCATCTTTCAACTCAAAAAGACAAAACCTGAGATTCAAACTTCTACTCCCTCTACACTAAGAGGAGGACAATTGAGTTATTCCATGACTCCTGGGGGTTTATTCTCTTCTAAGCAGTTTACATTCAGATATGATCTTACTGAGTTGTGGTAAGGATCTATAAACCCGTTCTTTGGAGACTGTTTAAATGGTGTTGCCTTTAAGACAGTGAGCATGTATGGTCACCTGGATGCCATTAAATTCTGGACAATAATAGCCCAAAGCAATAATTACAAAATCAAAGTCCTGCTTGAAGAATTGAGCCTCAAATGGATTTGTATCAATTACATATTCCATAATTACTTTTTTTTGCAATATGCTAGACTTGAGGTATGACACCCAATTTTGGGTGTCATACCTTAATTCCTAGTTAATACCTTTCTGGAAGTGCTACTAATCATTCACCTTAAGGTGCAACTTAGCCTGAATAATAGCTGCTTCTCACCCCTGTTCAATCCTTTATAAGACACTCAGTATCTCCTTTTTCCAGTCCCAGTTTCTTGTCTATTTGGGGAAAAAAAATGAGTCAAAATAACCCTAGACCCTACAGATCTTATGTGGCCACTGAAAATCCCATTTTCCTAACAACCACTGATGCCAGATATCGGTTTAAATTATACTGATTCTTTCTTTTCCATACCTGAAGCTCTATGCATATGCACAGAAGTTGTTTTCATGGTGAAAAATAATCTTTCTCTATGTAAGAAACATCCACTTCAGGGTCAAGCTACGGGATTTCAAATCATCTGGCAGAAGTTACACACAAACACTTCTTGACCTGGGGTGAGCCAAATGACATAGTACATTTCATTTTAAACTTCTCTGTCAGAAGCAGTCTACTTAAGGAAACAAAAGGACCTCAGCACAGCATTTTTTCATTCCTGTTGATGGGTAGCTTCCAGTGAGACATCCCAAGGTATCATTGTGTCAAGGCTAATGTAGCTGTTATGAGCTTAGTAAACGGAGGACTTATTCCTAATTTTACGCTACTCACTAGTCTTTATGAAAGAGATCAGTAACAGTTGCTTATCACAAGTAGTGCAACTCAAGGTTCTTACTTCTTTTTTATTATTTCATCTCCCATCCAATCAATGGCTTTTCTTTAATTCTTGAAATGGAACCAATATTTGCTGCTTTAGAGCATTAAAAATATTCACTTCAGACAATATTGAGAAGGTTTTGCCAACAGAAGAGACCGTAAGAAATGTGCATATATTTTGAAACCTATAGTAATGAAGCGTTAGGGACAGTTAAATTGCAAATATGACTTTTTTTGCTTCAATTTAAATTATTTTTTGTTTTGTTGGATGTCTTACAACAGTATTGAAGCTTCCACATTTTAGCCCTTTTTCCTGCACAAGTCACTATGTTTATATGTCTGCTGACAACTGGGGAGAGCTGTACACATTATAAAGTGCCTGAGCTGTACAGATCTGCACAGACGCAGATCTTCACCCAACACTTGTCTTTACCTCAACAGCATCTACTTCAGGACCCACCCCACACCCTGCTTGATCATTCCACCCAGGTTTTCCTTTTAAGATCTGCTGTCACTGAAAGGAGTTCCTGCATTCCTTAACGGCAGTGAAAGATGCCCGACTCAGAAGGGATATCTGAGTTCAGCAGAACAACTCTGCTTTCACGGTTCACATCTCAAAAGTCCTACCTTTGACACCTGAAGGGGCCGTTTCTGCTCGGAACCGCCTTGCAACCGGAAGCCCCAGGGGGCACCTCCAGACAGAGTGATGAGCATTTCTTCTTCAGCTCCCATGATTTCTATGCTTTGGATATTTTGTCTTCCCAACTTCAAAACAGACTCCAGTTCTTAACAGGCAGTATCTTCTACTCCCATCATCAAAATTCACACAACTCTCCAGTCCTCCAAAAGGCCCTGTGCACACTTTCTCCTTCAAGTTCACACACACAAGAGGAGAGTTGAAACTGTCAAGCCCAGCCTTCACTGCTCTTCTGGACAACCAGCTGCTGCTCTGCCTATGATTAGACATTTGATTCTCCTCTTGGTAAGGGGCCAGAGTTGTCTGACACACGTGTCATGTCAATCTCACCCTCTGTGTCCCCCCCTCCACATACACGACTGATCTCTCACCGGAGCACGGCTGAAAATAGCACACCTCCTGTCTCTCCAAAGCTTTGTCTGACACTCTTCAGGCTGGAAGCATTTCAGTAAAAACTTTATTTCCACTTCCCATTCCAAATGCAAATCCTGGAGTCATCCAGCTCTCAGGGTTCATTAGTATGAGTTTCAGACAAGGACATGACGCAGGCACAAACTCATACAAGATCAGGTGATAGCACCTAAGAAACTAAACAAAAACAGCTTGCAAGTGATGTCCTTTGCACTTGTTTTCTCCATGCAGCTAGTGTTACTACAGTGTAGCACCATGCATCTGCTCTGAAAAACACAGGCAGGTTATAGATGTGATGTGCTCCCTCTACAGCTTGCTGCTCCCTGACATCCCCTACATCCATTCCTAGTATTAGACACTGGGACCAGAATAGCCAGGATTAGCTATACAGATGGGATTCAGACAGTTCTCTGCAGGGCACCACATACATGTACTCGTCAGTGGCCAGGAGAATGGCTTTGCATCGGGGTCACAGAATCACAGAATGGTTTGGGTGGGAAAGGACTTTTAAAGGGACTTTTTAGAGAAAGGGCCATCTTCAGCTAGACCAGGTTGCTCAGAGCCCAGTCCAGCCTGGCCCTGAATGTTTCCAGGGGTGAGCATCTACCACCTCTCTGAGCAACCTCTTCTTGTTCCAGTGTTTTACCACCCTTAATGTAAAAAAATTCTTCCTTATATGTAGTCTAAACGGACCCTCTTTTAGTTTAAAGCCATTATCTCTCATCCTATCCCTACAAGCTGTACTAAAAAGCCTGTCCCTATCTTTCTTATAAGCCCTCTTTAAGTATTGGAAAGTTGCAGTATGGTCTCCCTGGAGCTTTCTCTTCTCTAGGCTGAACAACCTCAGCTCTCTCAGCCTGTCTTCATAGGAGAGGCATTCATGCCTCCGGTCATTTTTGCAGCCCTTCTCTGGACCTGCTCCAACAAGTCTACAGCTTTTTTCTGCGCTTCAGGCTCCAGAGCTGGGTGCAGTACTCCAGGTGGGTCTCCTCCTTCACTATTTTCTCTTTTAGGGCCATGACAGACAAGACCTCCTTGCTATCCCAAGCCACCTTGATCCCTTGGAATTATATTGGAAAATAAAATCCATTTTTTGTTTGCTACAGGGCTTACAACATAATTTTCTGTTAAGATCCTGAGCACAAACTCTTCCTTATTCTGCATGTGCTTAGTTCTCAGTGACTAATAAGTATCTTACAGATCTCTGTGATACCTTTGTACTGCAACATCCATAGGACGCAATTTTGCTCGATTGCCTACTTCACCGCTCACGCAGTGCCACTGCATGGTGCTGCTGAGCAGATACGAACAAGCATTACCAGGTAGCGCACAACTCCCGCACCACAGTGCATTTAAGTGCGAAACTGCCTCCGTGTGCTCCCAAGTCGCGTTTTTCCGGAGGCCGCTGATGGGACAAGCAGCCAAGGGCACCCTGCTCAGCACGGGCTGAGGCTGAGCAGCGCCGGGCCGGGCCGGGCCCCGCTCCCGCGTGAAACACTGGTTCTCGGACTATGCAAACGACCTGAGGAATCTGCCCCCACCACAGCCACAGCCCTCTCAACAGCCCTCTCCCTGCGCTGCCCGGGGCCCGAGGGAAGTGCGAGGGCGGCCGCGGCCTCGGAGCGGCGGCTGGTCCCCCCGAGTGCCGCCGCCTGGCACTTCCGGACAACCGGCCGCCGACGGAGCGGCGCGCAGGGCCTCCCGTCAAGACCGAAGAACGCCACTACCAGCGCGCATCCCCGGAGCGACGTCAACGCCCGCGGTCGCGGCGCACGGCGCCTGCGCCGCATCCGGGCCCCGCTGGGTGGGGCGCGGTGGCAGCCGGGGGTTGGCGGGGAGTGTGGACGTGGCAGGCAGCGGGCGGGGGAGCGGTGGCGTCGGAAACCGGAAGCGGGTCCAGCAGCGGCGCCGGGAGAGACGGGCAGCGGCGGTGAGTGAGGCTCTGCGGGGGGGTATTGGGTCTGCTGGTGGCGGCCGCGGAGGTACCCGGTGGTGGCTGGTGCGGCGGCCCGGCAGAGGCCCGGGTCTGAGGCGCTGCTGTCGCTTCCTTCGCCGCCAAGGAGGTGAGGCCTGGTGGCGCCCAGCCGGGTAGTACGTCGGGCCTGCCGTGCCTACGCGCCACGCCCGGCCTTTGCAGGGGCCCGGGTCTTCCTCAGTGATGTGTCTGGGTGGGGGCGCCCATCATCGCTAGCGGCCCGGCTCGGCCCAGTGGGTGCCGGCCCAGCGGGGTCGGAGCCGGCTGTCGGCGGGGCCTCCTCCTGCAGTGCCTGGAGGGGAGCAGCCGGCGTCCAAGTGTGGTGCGGGGAGTTGCGGGGACTATGAGTGCGGCCGTCGCACCCACCCGTATAGCTGAGCGCTTGTTTTCGTCCCGGGTGCGCTGTGAGGCGGATACTGCCTCTGCAGCGGCCCCAGTCTCTTGTAATCCGCGAATCCTTACCCCAGTGTATGTGTTGAGCTGTTCAAGCTCCCATTCATTCGAGGCTTGCAAAGGATGGTCGTCCCACAGGGAGATTGAGTTTAGTAGTAAAAATTAGTGATTGTCTGTCTGTGTCTTTGAAAAAGAAAGAAGGAAAGGAATGGAGATGACATGACCAAATTATAAGTGTAGTCTTGGGAAAAGTGGATGGATTCTTGCTTTCCATGTAGGTGATGCTTTAAACATGTTTGGTTTGTATTGTTGGAGTTTGCTTTGACTCTTTCGAGCAATGGTCTTTGGAGTAGAATGAAGGTTAGTTTCATTTCTCCTTATTCTCGGTAGGTACTTCAGTGTTTTTAAGTATGTGCATGTGGTGTCTTAAGTCTTTATTAAAGAGACTTTGCAAAACCATACAAACTAGGCCTCTGTGCTAGGTGTCACACTGTAGTCGAAGTTCTGTTAAATGTACTCGCTGACAGAAGTGGTTGCTGAAATGTAAGTGAAGTACTTACACCTTCATCAGAAGTCTTCCACCAGAGTTAATATTTGTAATATCATGTTAAAATACAGATTTATTTTTGTTTTTTCACTTCGGTACTCGGTGTTGAATTTTAGCCATTAATGTGATAATTCCATAAAAATATTTATAAATCCTTTTCTGTTACAGGGATCCTTAGTCAACTTTACCAGATGTTGAGGGGGGAATGTTAGAGTGAGAGAAATGACCATCTGAGACCCAGTATGCAGTGCCTTTATGTTGTAGTTGTTCACAGGCAGTGCAAATTCACACCACAAAAATAGGAGATTACTTGTTGCTGGGTTTATCCTAAAGTCTTCAGTGTTTATGAATATGAAGTTGTCCTGAGTAGGTTTAGGGAACTTGAGCTTTTACCTCTTTCTTCCACCCCCTTCTCACAGAGTACATGTTCTGGTTATTGGGTGGATAGAAATATATGTGGCCTAGAACTCCAGAGCCTTTCTCTTTAGAGGAGACTCGCCTTCGATCATGTATATACACTATATGTGGAATCATAAGCATTTCTGTCCTTTTTTTGTGTAGAAAAGGTTCTTACTTTTGGAACTACCCTGTTCAGCTTGAAGCTGTACCACTCAGGTTTCTTTATTGATACAGACAGACTGCGAAGTGAACATTGATGTAAGGAATATTTCTTCTTAATATGCTGTGACATTCGCTCCAGGTTCTAATTTCATGGCTGAAAGCTGAGTTATAGCAGTGAACAGATGTCTAAAGGATTATTCCTTTAATGAGCCGTTTGATGCTTGTACTGCTGTGAATGTTTTCTTCTGCTACTGTAGGACTATATTTTCTTCCTGTAACGCTTATTATCAGAAGGAGGGTCAAAAATCCAAGAAAGAATTGATGGTTGGCTAAAGGAAGGGCAAGGTACAAAGAGTGACTGAAAGTGATCAGCAGCGAGGTCTCCACAGAAGAGAAGAGGTAGATTTTTCTTGCTCTTTAGGTCTGAAAAGTTTTATTAGTGATGAATTGTGAAAATAGAGCTTGTTCCTATATGTTCAGCAAGATACATTGTTAGTATAGAAAGCACTAAAGTCAGTATAAACTGGGCAGTATGCATTACGAAAAGCTAATTCTGAGCTTTTTTTGTTGCTTGTGAGTGATGGGATTTTTGTGGTGCATTTTTGGTAGAGGAAGTCAAAGTACAGAAGTTTTGAATGAAAGTTGGCCAGTGTTACAATGTATGTGAAGAAAAACTTGTTTAGTACTATAACATGATTTTAAAGTCTTATTCTGTATATTCCTGTTCCTCCATTCTTCCTTCTGGCCTCTTCTCTAAACTTTAAGCTATCCTTGTAACTTTTCCTAATCAATTATACTTGTGCAAAGTTCACAGAAATGAGGCAGATGACTACACATGTTGCAACACGTATATGCAGGTAGCAAAAGAAGAGAGAAATCTTTCACTGCAATTTTGTTAATGGCACATTTTCCATAATTTCTGCCTCCCCAGGATTGCTCTCCAGAAGTAATGCCCATAACTGAGTGGGTTTGAAACATTTTCATAGACCTTTATTACAGAGAGAGAGAGGTGTAAATCAGTCCCACGAGGAGACAGGGTGATCCTCCCCCTCTACTCCGCTCTTGTGAGACACTACCTGGACTACTGTGTCCAGTTTTGGAGCCCCCGACACAAGAAGAATGTTGATCCATTGAAGCAAGTCCAGAGGAGAGCCACGAAGATAACTGAGGGCTGGAGCACCTTTCCGATGAAGACAGGATGAGAGAGTTGGGGTTGTTCAGCCTGGAGAAGAGAAGGCTGCGGGGAAACCTTGTAACAGTCTTCCAGTACCTAAAGGGGGCCTATGAGAAAGCTGAAGAGAGACTTTTTAACAGGGACATTTAGGGATGAGACAAGGGGGATGGCTTTAAACTAACAAAGGAGAGTTTTAGATTAGAAACACTGGAAAGAAATTCTTTACTGTGAGGGTGGTGAGATAGTGGAACAGGTTGCCCAGAGAAGCTGGGATGGATGCCCCATCCCTGGAAATGTTCAAAGGCATGTTGAATGGGGCTTTGAGCAATCTAGTCTAGTGGAAGGTGTCCCTTCCCATGGCAAGGGTTTAGAACTAGATGATCTTTACAGTCCCTTCCAACACAAACCATTCTGTGATTCTGTTATTGAAGTAAAAATCTGGTGGTGGTGGCAGGGGTTGGAAATAGTCTTGACCTAAGCTTAAACCTACCACTAAGATTTTAATTTTTTTTTGTGTGTCATTTTTTTTACCAGTTTACTCTCACAACTTGTATAAGACCTTGCCCAAATGATGAATCAGCCTAACAAAACCAGGTTTAGTGTGGCCCTTCTTTAAAAGAACATAGAAGTGATCACACCTTGCGTGCAAACTGTGTTTTTTTTATGTCCTGTCCTTTTTGGATCAGCCCAGGAATGACTGGTCTGCAAAAATCTGCTCTAGTACCTCTCGTGTCAAGAAGTTTTAGCAGCAAACCTATCCTTTCTTCTCCTGAAGGTGTCCTCAGTGAAAATATGGTGGCTTCTGGATTTTCACTGATACTAGATTGTAACATTTATGTTCTGAAAACTGTGCTATATGCCTCTCATGAACGTTAAAATAGATGTTTCTGGCAGTGACTCCAAATGCATAGAAGAAGAATATACTATGTGTCACAAGTTGAGATTCTGCCCAGGAGAAAGA